TCATTCATTTGTATGTACTAAACATCTCGTTTGGTCTCTGTTTTGGAAATTCAGAAGTGCTCATTCCATAGATTTGCTATAACCAACAACTGCTAATCTATAATTCTGATACTCAAAGTATCCCTTTCTATTCCTTTAATGTGACTCCCTCACATACAGGTAAAATTCACAAAAATATACATTCTCCATCTCTGCCATTCCATTGTATTAAAAAAGTTAAGATAAGAAGGAATAAACTGGTTATTCCCTTTCTATGGACAATGGTCATAATGACTTTATTCATAAGGTATGCATAAAACATAACATAAAAACATAACATCCTTGCTCCCACTGTGATTGTATCCTTTTGTTAAAAAGACAAAACCAGTTGGCTTCTTAACATAAAAGAATGGTACAGAACAACTGTAGAATTAAAAGCAAGCTGCTCAGAAGACTCAAGCAGTATCAAAAGCTTGACAATTGAAAAGATAAAGGCAAAAATGGAAGTGCAAAACGGCCTTCAGGTCTCCATGACAACCTTTGGAATCTGTATAGTCAAGCATGTTATTCCAGGGGTCTCCAATCCCTGGGCCGTGGCCTATTTGGAATTGGGCTATGTGAGTGGCTGGCCAGAATGTGCATGTGCGCAGCTCAATTTCCATGAGCAGTGGGCTGACGGACCCTCACGCCCATGCACACGAGCCCACTGCTCGCAATGCCCAGTTCTTCTTTCTCCTCCCCAGCCGGGCCACCAAGCTGCTAAGTTTGGGGACCACTGTGTTATTCCAGTCTGACCATGTGTTAAAAAACCCCAAACCCTACATTTCTTTTACACAGAAAATCAATGAACTGGAGGGAAACACTTCTTGCTAATATACTATTCTTATACAGGATGGAAAATTTGAGTACCCTTGCAATCTTTCCATTTTTAAAAATAAAATGAGAACAGAGCTGTACCACATTTCATGTGAATAATTTGAAACATACTGTTTGAAGTCTGAAACAAGTCAGGGTATCGAATCTCTTTCTTTGAGCACCTTCTTGATCATCACATTCTTAACTCTTTGTGCCTCTGCTGTGCCATCTCTTTCCTGCCACATTCTTCCATAAGCATGTTTGAAGTAATAATTTCTCTTGGGAGGCAAGCTGCATAAGCCAGGCTCAGGCCTTGACTACATTTGACCTCCTGTCCCCATGCAGAGCAAGAGAAAGGAAGTAGTAAGCACTCTTTAATTGCATTAGTTACACACATGCTCCACGAATGCCAGACCAATTAGTGATGTTTCTTTCTCCTTCAAAGAGCCAAAAATCATAGCCTGTCATTTAGGAAATGTCAGCAGGCTCAAGCGTGTTGGCCTGGATGAAACAGCATGCCTGCCATCACCTAGCCTATCAGGATGGGAGCAGGCAGGTGAACGGATGGAAACATTTTGTGTTCCAGCAGAATAAATATGCCACAGTTTGTGCTTAAGGATGTAAGAGAAATCTGTAATAAATTTAAGCATACTTTTCAGTTCTACCTCCTGTGGATTCATCTCATAGATGTGAATGACTGGGGATGCTGCTGGATCATCTTCTATTAGTTTGGGGAAAGTATTGATTTTTCATTTAAAAAAAAACACCTTATGGTTGCTTGGAATATATTCCAGAAAGGTTTCTGTAGGTTTCTGTTGTACATAATAAATGAATATTTTTTTAAAAGCTAGCATAATGCTAATTCACTCACTTTACATATGCAAAGTCCAGATTCATACCCACCTGTATGGAGGAGGTGGTGGGGAGGATGCAGAGAGGAAATTATATTGGGTAGATTTTTTCCTCCCCAGGAAAGATCTCAAGATCATAAACTGGTTAATAGAAAGGTAAAATAAAATGGTGGGTATGTATGTAAAGCATCCAAGAAGCAGTTGGTTGTGTCCTAGCTGATCTTGTCTGGTCTAAAAAGCCTAAAGTTAGTGCTTGGATAGGTCACTAAAAAGGGGCTGTAGATAAAAAAGACTGAGATAAAAAAAAATTAAATTCATTCTAGAAAAGAGGATGACAAACCAATTGGGCACTTTTGCCAAGAAAAGTACTTGGCAACATTTACAATATGTAATGACTAGATAAGATTGAAGTTAAGACACATTTTTCAAAACACTGAATATTTTTGCTCAAAGTTTTAGTGAAGCATATTCCTAAGTTTGCAAATATGGATTGTCAGGAACCTCTTTTGGCAAGAGTCTGAAAGAAAATGGTACAACAATTAATTTTGGCTCCATTAAAAGACCTGTAATATGACAAAACTCACAGACAATAGCAACATAGATCCCCCGCAAGTCCTGCTGTGCTACCTCATTGTGATTGCGGGTGGGGGAGATGAACAAATCCTGGAAGTATATGCCAAGAGATGCCAAGATCTCAGCAGGATCACCCAAGGGATGAAGGTCATCCCTGCTGACCTGCTAAAGCAAGGTGGCATTAATATTGGAGAACCGCAATAAGAGAATATGCTAAAGTCAGATCATTTTAAGTGACAATGGCAATTTCAAACTATGTGGGAGAAGGCAATAGTAAACTATTCTTGTATTTTACAAAGAAAGCCATATGGATACAGAAATCTATGTGGTCGCTTATTTGATGGTATTCAATCAATCAATCAATCAACCAACACAGAGGTGAATAATGATCCAAACCTCTGCACCAATTGGGTAAGAAAGACCATTCCATTTTTATAGACAACAAAGCTGCATTGTTTAACCCCTATCTTTCATGACTGCAGAGCCATGGTGGAGCAGTGGTTAGAATGCACTATTGCAAGCTAATTCTGCTGACTACCAGCTGTCAGCAGTTCAATTTTCACTGGCTCAAGATTGACTGAGCCTTCCATCCTTCTGAGTCAGTAAAATGAAGACCCACATTGTTGGTGTAATATGCTGATTCTGTAAACCGCTTAGAGAGGGCTGTAAAGCACTGTAAAGTGGTATATAAGTCTAAGGGCTATTGCTATCCACCTATGTAGGTTGTTTTTAATTGGTATTCGCTCACAAGTTTTTCTTAACTACATCCAGTAAGAGTGATTTTTTTTCCATTTGAAGTTGATATTTAGATTTACACAAGGCATTTTTTCCATTACTTCATGGATTCTCCTCTTGCCCTGTCAGTGGTTCTCAACCTTCCTAATGCCGCGACCCTTTAATACAGTTCCTCATGTTGTGGTGACCCCCAACCATAAAATTATTTTCGTTGCTACTTCATAACTGTAATTTTACTACTGTTATGAATCGTAATGTAAATATCTGATATGCAGGGTGTATTTTCATTGTTACGAATTGAACATAATTAAAGCATAGTGATTAATCACAAAAACAATATAGCAATGCTCCATGGAGAAGCTTACTCTTCCTTGCTCAAAAATGTTGGGAGGGCGGGAAGGGGAAGGAAGGAAGGAAGGAAGATTGAAGGGGAAAGGAAGGAGATGGAGAAGGAAGGAGATTGAAGGGGGAAGGAAGGAAGGAAGGAGAGGGAGATTGAAGGGGAAGGGATGGAGTTGGAGATTGAAGGAAGATTGAAGGGGAAAGGAAGGAGATGGAGAAGGAAGGAGATTGAAGGGGGAAGGAAGGAGAAATTGAAAAGGAAGGGATGGAGATGGAAGGAAGGAAGGAAGATTGAAGGGGAAAGGAAGGAGATGGAGAAGGAAGGAGATTGAAGGGGGCAGGCGCTACCAAGGACGCACAAGCAGCTCCGCACAATTGCCCGAGAAGGGGAGGGGGAGGCGGAGGTCTTCTCTGTTGCAGCACTTATGGCCACTACTTTGTCAAACAGTACTTGAAAACATTTTTTTCCCTCCAGGCTCTGGGCTATGGCAGACTTCTTATGGGAATACACTAGTTTGAGTATTCTCTTGCATGTCAGGATGTCAGCATTATTTCTTCTTTATATTTGTACTATTTTTAGCATTGCGTGTTGCTCAGAATCACTATGTAGTCAGACAACCTTTAGTTTGATTAAAAAATATAAAATACATTTTTAGAACAAGTGCTCACAACAGCAGAATGCCTTATCCAAAAATCTATGAGGTAATAACAGTTAAGTATCATTGTTAACAAACTGCCACACCCATCACAGATTAGCCTAACTGTATGCTCCTGTAGCTTCAGGACAATACTGTTCTATCTGCAGTGCTCAGTATAATTTCATTGAGGGGGAAAAAGCTCAGAGCAAGCTATCTGTTCATCAGCCGTTATTCTTTCTTTTATAATGGTAAAGTAATGAACCTTCACTTTATCAAGCTAGCAGATTTTGGATTTCTAGCACCCTCTACTGGCTGCTGAATTTAGGGAGAGAAAAGTTTTAAAGTAGCACAGCAAAAGGCCAGCAGATCTTAATTAGAGGAAACCACCTTTCTGTTTATTCTCCCATCAAACAGCATCCCTACATAAATTGTACGACATCAACCTGTGAAAATGACATATGTATAATATGGGCATTGTACTTCAAGAAAATACAAGCATGAGAGAAGGAAATAAAGGTTCACCTCTGAATTTCCCTATCTTGCCCATCCTGCAAAAACCAGGTGAACAAAACAGAAACAAAACCTCAAAAAGGGGGCACACAAAGCTCTCCATTTTGAACAATTAAACACCTGCATCTTTGTTCCAACTTTGGGACAACTGCTTTGGAAGTTTGTGTGTGAACTTTCCAAAACAGTATTCAAGAGTTCAAGTTGGAAAGTTGAGGCTGCTTGAATGAGTTGAAGAGATACTTGCTATGTTCTCCAGAGATTCTGAAGTGCTCCTACCCAGGTTTTGCCAGGCCTAATAAGTATAATAAACAGTAAAACAGGCTTTACAAGCTGTAACACCTGGGTGTGTTAGTTCAAAAACAAGAGAAAATATGTGGCTTTGCAGTGTCACATTCATGAATGAAATGGATCTTTCCTACAGGGTTTCAGGCAGAAACAGTTTGCATCAATTAGTGAAAAGTGTTGGTACAAACAGTTTTAAGGCATCAAGCACTCAAATAATTTTTGTCAACTATCTTTGCACTGGTTTATTATTTTATTTTTAGAACGTAGTAATTTCATTGTTAAATAGTAGCAAACATTATAAAAATATTTATGTCATTCTCCAATGAAGTATTTATTGCTTTATGCACTCTTGTGGAAAGTATGATCAGCATATAATAAAATCAAAATAAAATGAAACTGGGGTGTTTTTTGGTCCTAACTACAGGAGGGATATTTCCACTATATGGTGCAATTATGTATGGTCACTGTCTTACCCCAAGGAATCCTGCTTGCACTTTGAAAGGCCATAGAAAGAAAAAAATGCAGCTATACTCTTGAGGTAAGATTATCTCACATTCAAGGAAAGAGTGATGGTGGAAGTAACTTATTTTGGTGACAGATCTTTCTACATATTTGTTTCCTGGTCTCCTCCAGTGTTGCTCAGCTAATTGCCATTGAAGTATCACCACTAAGCACAAAAGCCATGTTGTGTAAACATGGCTTGGAACTCTAACTTCTCCAGGGAGAGATCTTTGCTTTCCATATGTTCTTTTCCCAGGTTCTCTACTGTTGACCTCAATGGCAGTCACAAGACATCACAATATAATTTTACTACACTAAACAATGAGGCTTTCAGAAGGAGCAGTTAGCAGAATACGTTAGAGAAAATTAGCTCTGTATTCTTTAACAGCTTTCTTACCTCACACCCTTAACAGAACACTTTCTATTTGTTACAGACATGTTACTTATTAAGTTTTAGTGTTGATAAAAAAAACTTTTAATATTGTAATAAAATATCAAGGTGACACTTTAACAGGAAAATTGCAACAAATAAAAGCAAGAGCTATTATTATACTGTCTCTCTTTTGACCTCCCTGAATAGGACAATACTCCAGATTATTTTTCTTTGGACTGAAATATGTATTGCAGATATTAGATGTAAGAAAACAGTGGCAAAAATTTAGTTTCAATTACATGGAGAATGCATCTATTTTAACATTCCAGGAGATGCATAGTATTTTATTTGATGCGATAAAGGACTTTGCGTTGCATGCGATGCTGGATCTCACCACGACGCATCATAAGCTGCAGCACCCTGTAGATGGCGTGCTCAGGATATTTCTGAGAGGGAAGGAAAAGGGAAAAAGACATTTTGTGAAAACTAACACACCTAAAAGTAACTATGAAACTTGAAGGAGAATGATGGACAAATTATGGTGCTAATCTGGAGAATTAACACTGAATTTCTGTATTAAATAAGACAGCTTCATTTTCACCTACATTTTGTATTAAGCACAATAGATTTGTCTGTTAGGGAATATTCCAGGTACTTCTCAATTTATGGCCTTAATTGAGCCTGGAATTATGGTTGCAAGGTGTGCTGATCATTAAGCAGGTCATCACGTGACGACCCAATTTTATTTTTTTGTAGCAGTCATTAAGCAATTGTCTGCAGTGGGTGTTTTTTGCTGGAAAGTGGAAGCAAATGCTGGTTTCCAGCAAAAACATAAATCATGGTCATATGACTGTGAGATGCTGCAACCAGTCACAAATGTGGACTTGTCTGCCAAGGACCCAAATGCAATCACTTGACTGCAGTGGGGAGAGGGGGTCCAGAAGTTTAAATCTTGGTTATAAATACCTTTTTGGGGATCTGTCTTAACTTCAAATTGCCTCTAAGCAACCAGTTAGAAGTCAAGGACTATCTGTACCATTCCCAACCTGAAAGTACATCTACTATGCAAAGGGACACCTATTTCTCCCTCTATAGTAGGGGTCCCCAACCACTGGTCCATGGACCGGCACCGGTCCGCAACATGCCAGAAATCAGGCCATGCAAACAAGTGAAGCGGGATGCAGGCAGCACACAAAACCACACTCCCTCTGGTCCACAGAAAGACCTCTCTCCACAGAACCAGTCCCAGGTGCCCAAAAGGTCGGGGGGGGGGCTGCTCTATGGTATGCAATCAGCTACTGAGAGGAAGTGAAAATTCTCTGCACTCCACCTATATCCCTGATCCCTCTGCATCCTCCAAATCTGTGGAAGCCCAATTCTCACAATCCTTGGGACAAAGGACAGGAGAAGCTGTTCTAGAACAGGGATGAATAAATATTACAATGGACTGAAGCACAATTCCTTCCACTAAAATTAATTAGGTCTGCACATCTTGCAACTTGGCCAACCAATAGCACACATTCTAGGGCAGGGGTGTCAAACTCAATTTCATTGAAGGCCGCATCAGCATTGCGGTTGCCCTCAGGGGGCCGGGTGGGTGCAGCCTACGGGGTGGGTGTGGATGGAGTGGGTGTGGCCTACTCTACATCGTTCGCGTCAAGGGTGCTTGTGGGGGCCTGGGCAGGAGTGGGATAGATCTGAGGGTCTCTGGCAGAAGGGGGTGGGACCAGGGCAAGTGCCAAGGCATGGTCCACTGGAGGAGCCTCACTATTCCTCTCAGACCATGCAGGGGGGGGCTTATGGAGCTAAGACTGAATGTGTTTCAGCATAGATGGCCATGACAAAATTGTACATTGGCTCCCGGCCAGCCTGGGCCAGGGCCAAAGCAGAGGGGGCCGTTCCCTCACTGTTTCCAGGATGGCTTCGCGGGCCACATGAAACCACTTCGCGGGCCGCATCTGGCCCCCGGGCCTTGTGTTTGACATGTCTGTTCTAGGGGTTCCATATATTCTTGATATTGTTCATAAACCTTTTTATTCATGTTACTTTCACTGGACTATAGCCGAGAGAGCACTTCCAACTGCCTCTCTCAGGTAACTTACTTGTTTCACAAAATCCTGGATAATGCTGTGTTCAGATACTTGGGAGCCAATGGCAAAGCGACGCTTGAGCTGCTTCTCAATACGAGACAGCATCTCTTGGTCTTCCTGAGTAGTGAAACCTTCTACTCCTACAGAGAGGGCATATCACAATTAACATGAGAGACACATTTCTTTATAGAAATAAATTGTTCAAATCTTTGATATCTGATCTAGTCAAAATTTACAACAGTACATTTTGTATCAGCGTGAGTTGTTCTGTTTGATTTCACCAGTTTAAATAAAACCTGAATTTAATACAACTGAAGTGGAAGGTTCATATTTATTTATTTTTTTGTCTCCTAAGAGTTCCTTTATTAAATTCAAACAAAGAAACACAAAGAAACAGTTAATCCTGCTGAACTGAACTCGTTTGCACACAAATATATAATTAAAGGAAGTATTTCACTAATAATTGAGCTTTCAAATGGATTCCACCTTGACCACTCATACAATAATTATGTTTAGCATGTTAGTGTTTCTAAGCCATTTCATATACATTACTGCAGACTTTTTCCTTACAGCAAAGCTTAAGGTAAAGAAAATATTGCACTATCACAGATGGGGATGACAGCAAAGAAATTAAATATATTTATTTATATATCATTTACACACTGCCTCAATTGTATACAGGCTCTCTCAGCAGTCAACAAAAATCACAGCAGAAGGAAGATTTGAGGCAAATACTTCATGTATCATTCTTATACTCCTATACTCCAATTGAATTAATAATCTTAATTTTTCAAAGGCCAGCCAGCTGGAAAGCTGAAGAAAAAAAAATCAGCAATCTACCATTAACTTTGAGAGCCAGATTATCAACACATGTATACCAGGCAATCTTTGGTCAATGAACTCTAGTAGTACACAAGCAACATGTATTTCCTTGAGGAAGCCCACCTGAGAGGTTGCCTGACAAAGCAGCATCAAGGGTCGACACCTGGAAGAGCCGCAAGGCTTCTTCAATGTCTGCCTCAGTAGCAAAAGGTTGGAGCTTCATCTTACTGAGGGATTCTGCTATTCGCACAATGGCCTCCAGCTGCCTGCATGGGATGAATTGAAAAAGCTCCTTTAAAATAATATAAAAGAAGTGAAAGAAATAACCATGACTAAGAGAAGTAGAAGTCTTTAAAATTAAAAAAGAAAAAAGGTGAAGCATTAAATCAATAAAAATATTAACTGGAAATTAAATTTGAATAAGGATCATTTCAGCATGCCTATTCAAAATAATTCTGTTTTTCTATTCTCTTTTCATTTTAGGAAATGATCCCAATTTCCTGAATCAAGGCAAACACATCCTGTTTACTTTGCATTTTATGTGCACTTCTACTAACAAGACATCAATGCAATGAAGATCTCAAAAGTCCTGAAACAAGACTATTTTTTTTGAAAATTATAATAAAATATTGATCCTAATGGAAGTTCAAATTCTCATTGTTTTCAAATTTCCAGTGGTAACATGTGTATCTAGACAATGCGGGCTGCATCTGATGGGGAGAGCTCAAGATCATAAAAGTTTATGCCTTTTAATAACATTTGTTAGTCTGAAAGGTTGCACCCAGACTTTCTGATTTATGGGTATCTAGGAGCATGTCTGAAATGGCAAAAATGTACAAACTGTCCCCATTCTGATGGTTCTGAATTAACTGTTGTGATTCCAGATTTCAGATGAAACAGAATAGAAATGAGTAGAGCAAGGCTATTACAGTATGTGTAACCCCGTCTTCCCTCAGCAGATTTTAATGCGACCTATTCCCACTGGTCCATTCACCCCAGTATTCCCACTGAAAAATTCTAATGTACTGTAGTATAAGCCCATCATGCCTCTCCCCCACATCTTCCTAGTATCTTTCCCTTATCCTCTCAGCTGCCAACATTCTTAGTTTTCTCTGCTCTCTATATACCAAAACCATTCATGTACAGATCAAAACAGTCCTAGTTTTTAACGGGACAGACCAATCTATCAGACATGCAGGTTTCAGTTCAGTCATAGGCCAAACCAGCTTTTGTGCATGGGACAGTTTGTGCACAGAAGACTTTGCACATCCTTATGTATACTTACTGGTTGGACAACTGTCCTGAAAAATAACATGAACCTTCTTGTCTAATAACACTCTTGAGAAATTCAGAAACTGTACAGAGGAACTTTTCTATGCAGTTTCTCTACTAAATAACTATTATTTAGTTCCTCATCTGAAACCCAGATGTTTATTTGCCCTTACCTTACTGTAATGGGAATGTTGGAGCGACGGTCGCTTTCTCTTTCATGTTCGCGGGCACCACTGCGCATAAGAATATAGCGGTTCTTCAATTTCTCTGCAGCTTCTGCAGAGAGGCGAGGACCACATTTCCTATGGGAACAAATAAAAATGTTATCAGCACACACACAAAGACAGACATATATACATACGTACACATATACCACATAATTACGAGATCATTTTGTCTCACTGAATTTTTAATTCTTATGGCATAATCACAATCAATCAATCGAATTGATTGATTGAAACCAAACTTGTACACATTAGTAAGTCATAATGTAGTTCAGTATGTTGTGTGAACACATCCACTGTGGCTTATTAAACAAACTACTGTTAGAACACCTTAATATATGAACTTAGTCTCCAGGCTGTTCAATTTATGAAATGAAAATGGATGTTCTAGTGATTTCTTAATGATATGCCTTTTCTTCTCTCGTATCTTTTGGATGCTTATAGCATCATGAAACTTATTAAGCATAGTTGAATGGCTGTCTTTCCTACGCTCCTTAACGTGGATCACTACTTTAGAGACACTTGAGGGAAGGCATTTTTGGAGCTGAAATATCACCCTGGCCCTCAAGTCAGAATGAAGGAAATTTTGCTTTTGCTTCAGCACTGAGATGAAGACCTTTTGAATCTCTAGAACAGGGGTGTCAAACTGCTGGCCAGCGGGCCGGACGTGTCACATGGAAGCCGCGCCCACCCCATTGACATGCCTGCTCTAGAACCAAAGCAAAACATCTAGTTTTTCTTTTATTAATCTGAAGCATGCTTGAAAGGTTTCCACCACGCTTTCCATGTAATTACTGCTACAATTGTCTTACTCACACTCTGCAGTAGGCAATCAGCTTCTTCAGTTTATGCAGCTCAATCTCACCCTCAACTGCCTGTGTCTGGGTTAAGGCACTTACATGTAGTGACATCACATGCTTGGCCAGGGTCTAGGGAACAACAAAGAACAAATTAATTAGAAGGGGGGAAAACCCACTGAAACTAGCTTCTGCATTTACTATTAATGCAATAAAGCAAAGCTTTATTATTTCTGCATGCTAACTTTTTTTAAGGCTGCCATTATCATTCCTTTAAAATAATGATAAATGCCATTATCATTCCTTTAAAAAAAGCACTGACTGCTCTTTTTAGTAAAGAGTTATTATACTTTATTCCACCTTTTATATAATCTTTGGAGAGCAATTTAGAGTATGTTTATGCAACACATAGAGTCACAAGCTAGGCAATCAAACTTTATTGAACTCATTCATATATAGTCATATCATGTGAACACAGAAGATCTGATTAAATGGATTACGGTTATGCTAATGTTGAGTAAGTGTAATATGAAAGCACAGTCTATAAATCTTGCAGAATTTATAAATGGTTTTACAATATTTTCCAGGCAGAGATAACATTTGACTACAATAGGACCTAAATTTGCAGAATACTTACTGCCTTCCGAATGCTTTGTTTTATAAGGAAGACTAAAATATTGGCTAAATTATCTATAATGGTTGCAGAGAATATAGAATTACACTTCTTATCTAACCCTTCTTTTAGAGGTATGCATTATATAAAAGAAATGGAATATAGCCCTTCACAAAATCAAGTCTTTGTGCCATTGTTTCTACAGTTTTAAAAAATTGAATTTCCCATACAACTCCACTCACTTTGTACTGGGCTATTCAAAGAACCTACCATGTCTCTTTCCTCATTGTGCTCATCTTTGACAATGAAGATCATGTCAAATCGGGACAGAATGGTGGGCATGAAGTCTATATTTTCGTCTCCTTTAGTTTCATCCCAGCGTCCAAACACGGAGTTTGCAGCTGCTAACACAGAGCAGCGTGAATTTAGGGTAGTGGTGATACCAGCCTGCATGATTGCACAGAGAAAGGAAAAAACATGAATTAACCAGCATGTAGTATAGTTAAAAGGGTGGGACTTATGCAAGTTTAGTGTATTGGGCCTACAGTTTAGAAAAAGTTAGAGTAAGATGCAAATCAGCCTGGAACACTTCCCCCATCATGTCCTATAAAATAATGTGTAATAATCTATAACCACTGGCTTCCCAAGGCCCACAGCGAGGCACTCTTAACCCTCTATAGAAAAGCTGAACCAATTTAATTATTGTCAGGGTTAGGGACCAAATGGGAATCTTAAGCCTTTGTAAAACTTTAAAAATACCCACTTCCTGCCTTAAACTTTACAATACTAGAAAGAATCAAAATTTTCTTCTCTGCCCAGTTGTGACTGCATAATGTTACCATTATGTTTACTGTGGTCCTGGACAGGGTGCAAAGAAAAAACAAAGCCCTTGGCTCCAAAAATGCTGTTTAGTCCTGATAAGGAAGAATGAACTCGATCGCATTAGATATTTTAAGGCTGGCCTGAACAGCCCCCAGCCTCTTAGCTAAATAAAGCTTTCAGACTTACTGATATGACCCACTGGCTTCTCTCCTAAACCCTTGCCTTTTCTGGTAAAAACTTTTAATCTGCAGTTCCTTCGAGCATTTCTCACTTGCAAGGTTTTAGTTACTTTCAAGTTCAAATGAGAATCTAATTGCTATGCAATGGAGAGGATTTCCAGAAGCTTGTATGGATGCATAAAAGGCTTCAGGCAAGTAAGTCAGCAGAATGGTTCATTTCATGCTTTGGAGTCACCTACTTGCCATAGTGCCGTGGTGGCGAACCTATGGCACACGTGCCACAGGTGGCACGCAAAACCCTCTTTGTGGGCATGCATGCTGTTGCCCCAGTCCTAGGCCTTCAGCTGGGTTTTATAAAACCTTTTCGCTTTAGGCCTCTGCCACCGTGTGCAAAAAGAAAAGGTTCAATCAATCAATCAATTTCAACTTCTCGCGGGAAAAAAAATCTCGCAACATTGGAATTGATTGAACTTTTTAGTGCCACCCAGTCTGCCATTACCACAGCCACGCCCACCCAACTGACCACACCCACCCAATGGGCTATGCCCACCCGGCACCCGACGATACATAAGTGGGTTTTAGGTTGCAGTTTGGGCACTCGGTCTTTAAAAGGTTTGCCATCACTGCATCCTCCCCCCCCCCCGCAATTTATCCAAAGTCAACTTCATCCTTGGTGAGAAATAAATAGTCTCTGAGGTTTAAAGCCATATTCATTTGTAAATGAACAGAAAAATGGACTGAAAAAAGTAACTGAGGATTTCTCATAAGCAGCTATGGTAAATTCACCTTGGCAATGGAGATGGTCTGCTGCTCCATAGCTTCATGGATGGCCACCCTATCATCTTCACGCATCTTTTTCAAAGAATGGGGGAAATAACAGGCCAAGTTTCCATATATAGAAGAAAATAATACCACTTTGTTAAAACATTTTAAATGTTTTGAAATACTATTCAAAGTAATTATGTGCTGTTTTATGAAAGTTGGGATTCACAGTAAAGCTGATAGCTTACTTTTAGCACAAATTAAATGAATACATTTTTGAAAATTGATCTGTGCTTAAGTTGGTTTGGGGTTCTTTTTGAATTACAGAAGTTTTACTATTCTCAATTTCTTTAAAATGAAAGCATAAATTTATATAAAGCTCTCTTCTTAATGTGACTTGAACTTACTATGCATAGTCCTTGACTTATAACCATAATTCTGACCTCAAATACAGTAAGTCATAGTGATTGTTAAACAGTTCACCATGTGACCACATCTGATTTTACGATTATTTTTCAGCAGTTGTTAATCAAACACCATGGTCATTAACAAAGCCATTATATACAGCGGACATTTTTTGTTGGAAATAAAAGTAAATCCCAGAAACTGGCACAAAATGTGAGCAGAGAATGTTGCAAATGTGAGCCAGTTGCCAAGCACCCAAATTCTAATCACCCAACCATGGGAGTGCATGATTGTTGGAATTTTAAAATTGGGTTATAAATAGCATTGGGGAGATCCATTGTAACTTTAAACTGTTGCTAAGTGACTGGTTGTTAAGCAAGAACCTCCTGTATTCCAATCTTAAAGCCCATTCAAAACACACATTTCTTGGCAGTATTACAACAGATTTTTTGCTAACCATTCCATCTGTACCTTGTCAAACTCGTCAATGCATACTACTCCTCCATCAGCCAAGACCATGGCTCCACCTTCTACAAAGAAGCTCCGTGTAGCTGGGTCTTTGATCACTGAGGCAGTTAGACCAGCTGCACTGCTGCCTTTCCCTGAAGTATAGACCTGGAAGGGAGAAAAAGGAGACTCAAATATTCTAGGTCAGAACTTCTGCTTGATAGTGAAAGGAGAAAAAACCTGCTACTTCTGAAATGGTTCCCCATTTAAATTGCTCCATTAATTTGGAATTGCCTTTCTATGACTTAAATTTGTACTCTAAAACATAGTTCAGATCTTGACTTTCTTATAAGTGACAAATTGTAGATTATTATATGTTCAAGCTGCCTTTTTATGTATAATTCAAGGTGATGAACATAACTAATACACTGTGTCCTACTTTCCCCACAATAACCCTATGAGGAGGGCTGGGCTAAGAGTGATAGGCCCCAGTCAATTTTCATACCTAACAGAGGGCTGGAACGTAAATCTCCTGGTTTCTTGGCCAGTCCCTTAACCATTACACCAAACTGGCTCTCTATAACATCCCCCTCTGTCTTCACTGTTTACTATTTAGGGCAATACAATTACAAAGGCCTTGAGCACCCACATTAGCCAAGTTGAAATTCTTGACTTAAAAATAAAATTTATTAAAGACTCTATCTTAAACTCATCATTCCCTGGTACCTGACATACATTATTATTAGCCTTTTTGATCACTCAGCTATAAGTAGTAACTCAGTCTGTTTATCTTTTCAACCTTCACATCATACCAATTTTCCACGTACAGGTCAACAAGTAGATTTCTCAAACAAGACAACCTCTAATATCAGTATTATTCACTTTATGCAATAAAATCAGAAGACAAGATGAATGAGCTTTTAAACTAGTGGAATGACAATGTATAATTTTAATAATTAAAATGATATGCCTATAAATCAGGTTCATAACTGCCCTACAAGTTACTTACTCCTATGGGTGAACATCTTTCTACAAACTTTAAGAGCTGAGATTTGGCAGTTCCAGGGTCTCCCATCATGAGCAAATTAATATCCCCTCTACGTGTTAACCCATCTGGAAGTCTGTAAATTGAAAGAAATTGATAAGAGACTAGAGACAATATGAAATGTTTGTTAGAAAGCCACTCCCTATTATCACTGAAATAAATAGGAGACACTTGGGCCATTGGTTGGAGCTTCACAAACAGGCAGTCTGCACTCCTGATTAACATTTCATTAATCCCCAATATCAAAGAAGTCTTATCACAAATTGAATCAGCTGAGACTTTTCCAACAGAATTTCTCTTATCTGATTCTAACCAGGTATGCTTTTTTCCAGAACTCTACAAGGTGTAACTGCAGAGGTGGGAAGACTTTGAACCTTTGGCTGTTGCTATGTTTACTCATGGCAAGAGAAGTAGGAGGTTCACTTCAAAAACATCTAGATCACTGAATTACCTATATATTAGGGAATAATGTTTATCACTCTATCCAACTACTAAGTTTTCATTGTCTAACTCAGTGGTTTTCAAAGGATGGTCTGGGAACCACTGGAAGTTCCGAGACCCTTTATGTGGTTTATGAAGTCAAATAAAATTTCATTTTTTTTCCAATTTTTATTTCTAATACAGTATATACTGATTGTTATAACCCACATAAACCAAAGCTATTTTTGAAAAATTAGTTTTGAAAGTTAAGGGATCCTGAGACCAAAATCTTACAGAACCGGTGGTTAAAAACAAAAGCAAAAATTCTGGTGCTCATCCAATTATGCTGTTGCAATGCTATTTTGGTTCCATTTGCCAACAATAATCACTCAAATTTGCTATTTGAGATATTTTTCCCTTTAGAAGCTGCCTAAGAGTAGTTATTAAGAACATCAAAGCCCAAAGGGAATTGGAAATGGGGCAGAGATAGCAATACCTTTTCTCTTCCATTCTAGTTCAAGAAAAAAAACCATCATGTAACAGACAGCTGCTCTTTCCTTTTCATGTACTGCTGGGTAAACCGCATTATTTTCTTTCCCAGGAGTAGTTATGATAAAAGTAAGGAAAATATTAAGTATATAAAAAGGCTGCTTCATAGTAAAACAGAGATAAGCCTGTATGACTTTCTTTCCTTATGATTCCCCTTTGCCTCTTGCCAATTACCTCTTTCGAGAGCCTCCAAAAAGCATGCATGCAATTGCCTTCTTGATATCATTACTACCATAGATGGAAGGAGCAATGCTTTTGGCAACCATATCATAAATGTTGGGCATGGAAGCCAAATGCCGAAACTCCTCCTCTTCTTGAGGTGTCACGGAGCCACTGACACTGCGCCCTAGAGAAAAACAGACAAATACTGAAAGCTTGGGGTCTGCAGGGTTGTTCTGATACAATTCTAACAAAAAAAAATACATCTTATGTAATACCTTATCAGTCATATGACTATTTTGAGAAATGCCACCAATCATTTGTATTAAATAGTCTTAAGTCCACAGATTAATATTGGTTTCAGTCTGATATGGACTACATTAGAAAGGTAGAATAGATAAGAGCTGGAGTCAGTAATTCTCAGGCCTAAACAACACAAGTTCTCTTTTGACCAGCATGTTTCGTAGTCAAATGAACAGGAGGGCAAAAAAGTATGGCATGACTCAAAATCTCACATAAGACTCAGGCTTCCAAATTAAAGCTTTACCTGAGCCTTCGGTGTCTACTTGTATTCCCACTACACGGATATAGGAGCTCCGGATGCCCACTCCAGCATTGTTCCGGCTCTTGATCTTTGTGAGGCTTGCCTTTTTGATTGAGTAAACGCCTATGATAGTAGCTCTGTTCCCAGGGACAACTTTGTCACACAGGTATCTGGAAAATTAAGAGCAAGGAAGGAAGAAAAAGCAATTTAAAATGGAACAAAAAGGGTAACTCTTGAACGCTTTTTGCTAACAGCACATGCGGATTGCTTAGAAAGACCTGGAGGATCACGTAACATGGATAAGCGCCACTAACAACTGTATTTATTCCCATATATTTTTTAGCTAATTCAGTTTCCCATTTTATGTATTGAAACAACCAAATTCTGTCTTAAGTATGAAAATGGTCATACATGCATCTAAATTTTTTAACCATGGATACAACATATTGTGTTTGGATTTTTCTACTTGATTGAGTCTCTTGTTGCACCACAGCCCTAATCCTGCTGAAGAATCCAGAAGCATCACCTGTCACAATAGAGCTGCATGTGCCGAGGCAATTCTCCATGAGGAACAGCATCAGGAGACTCTTGCAGCTTCAATGTTTGGAAATCCACACATTTACACTTGTCTGGAACAATGAAATATGGGTCCAAAGGACATTTTGCTAGGTTAGTCTGTTCCCTGAAGTGAAAAGAGAGACAGTACAGGTAAAATGGGACAGCTTTTTCTATTTTATAATGTTTGTCTCAATCATTCTCATGAGAATTTAGTGTTACAAATTTTGGAAATACCAATACTATGGGCACAAAATTTGTCTACAGTTATCTAAAACAAACTTTGAATGTGTGCATCTTAGATGCAAATGGAATTCATATATCCACTAAACTTTAACCCAAATTCTTGCAGTTGTATTAAGAGTTGGCCAATTAAACAATACCAGCCATCTCACTGCCAGTGTTGTAGTGTTCAATCTCACATTTCATTACTACACAGCATTTGGGAATTCAGAGTTCAATTTTTTTTATGAACTCAGTTTTATTAGATACATTTTAATCTTTCTGGGTACAGGAGAACACTGCTTTTAAATGATCTATGCAGACTTCAATTCAAATTACAGGTTTTCTCCAAGAATTTTTTTTCAAAGCTCCACATAATCTTAAACAAGCAATCATCCTCCAAATGTTTTTTACTAGAACTTTCCCAAACCTTTACTAAGTTGCTTGTGGCTAATAGGAATTAATCCAAATATCTGGATGATATAATATTTGCCCAACTTTGCCTTAAATGAAAAGAAACATATAACAAAGGCTATAATCTTATGCCAATTATTTGAGAATAATTCTAATGAAGCTTAATAGGGCATGCTAATGAGAAAGTATATACAGGAGTCCTCTGTAAACAAAGGCAAAGCAACATAATTATATAGGTCATAATCATATGTGTCTTAAAGTAAATTTCACTAAAATTTGAAAAGAAATGCAACCCTTACGTGCTGCACTTCCGAGGAAGAGCATATCCTTCCAGACCTGGACGCAAAGCTATGTTAGGTATTATATTTCGGCAAGTGCGGCATTGGATGGTGATCTTGGTTGCTTTGGCTCTCACAGGAGTTGCAGCAATAATGATTCCTGGGATCTTCACCAAATGTGACATCTGTTCAGACTTCAAATCAAACAAGGAGAAATTAGAACCATCCTGAAAACTGCAAAAGAAAATATATACCCAGAGCATCCAAAGATCCAGAAATCCAAATCTCTTTTCCACAGTCACTACAAGTTGTTCATAATGTAATGTTCCAATTTGTAGTATACAAAAATACAGAATGAGGCATATAAAACATGCCATACATATATATTTTTTATTGCAACCTATGACTCTAGGGTTCTTAGGTTCTACATTTAAATGAACTTCAGAATGAAGTGTTCATTTGAATCTGCTTTCTGAAGCCACAAGTTTCCTTTCTTTCTTATTGTAAAACATCTGCATTGCTTTATATTTCACTAAGGTTTCATCTGCAAAAACCTCCTCCAACATCTGGAATAGTAAGAAGATTCCATGCATGCATAAAGGCCTCTTCCATTATTTCCAGTTAACTATTTTGGCTACTTCTGATTTTTTCAAATGCTTGTGAGGCACCTTGAGACAATTAAATAGCTATCACAAGAAATATGTGTGCATACTTTATTGCAATTAATAACTAGGTACAACAAAGAAAATAAATATCATTTTTGTGGTACAAAGCATCTGAGGAGATGAAAGTTGGCATTGAACTAGTTTTATATTTTTATCCTGCCTTTAAAAGAAATTCAAGGTAGCAAACATACTTAACACTCCTTTCCTCCTCCTCTTTTTTCTCACAGCTCTGTGAGGTGGGTTGGGCTGAGAGAGAATGACTGGTCCAAAGTCATCCAGCTGGTTTTCATGTCTAAGGCTGGACTAGAATTCATAGACTTCTGATTTCTAGGCCAGCATCTTAACCACTATATCAAAATGGCTCTCCACAAAAATAAAGAAGAGTTTTGATATAACTTTTCTTTCAAGTATATTTTAGAGTAAACTTAGTAGATCACAGCTACAAAGATTCCTTAAGGCAGCCATCAATATAAAGAAATTCTCAACAATAAACTGGAAAGACAAATTATTATACTTTACTTGAAAAATTAAGCTAATAGATTTTTATTACAATACTACAGCAATGCTGGCAAATGCAGAGGGAACCTTCATTAGCTCTACAAAACTATAGCTCCAACCTCATTTTAGTGAATTTTTTTTTAAAAATAGCCTATTTCAAATTGAGCTTCTTAACTTCAACTTTTCTTGGAAACAGCATGGAAATGATTTGCTATTTGTTTCTTCCAGGATTTCCTTTATGTCTCAAACTAAGCTTAAACAAGAGTTTCTGCAGGATGTGGTAAAAAAATTAAAGATGGTGGCCTTAAGTACAATGCACATAAAAAAAAACAGATAGAGTTTTGATTACACCTTTGTGGGTGCTATTTTCATTTCTGTTTCACCATACTCTGCAGATATCTCTGGCTACAGATCTGCAGTTTCCTGGGAGCTTTCTATTCAAACACTAAGCAGGTGTGACCCTGTTTAGCTTTATGAAATCAGCCATAGTTCATAAGGTTGAGGGTCTAACTCACTTTGAGATTTCGGATGTTGGATGGATTGGCATCTGATCTGAGCATAACTTGAATATCCTGAAGAGTCTCTTCTCCTGTTGGCCGAGGACGTGTTACTTCATCAGCTACTTCTTTTGCAGCTTCCTCCAGCTAAGAAAGAAATGAAATTGTTTAAAATATTAAAGGCATTCTCCTTTTCTTAAAGAAGAAAAGAAAACCCAATTGGACAGAAATAGCTGAAAAATAGTCTAATCATGGAATATTAAGTTTCAGTTAGAAAAGTAACAATTGGAGTGAGAAGGAAATAATGGAGAATTCTGGAATAGGGCATAGCTAGTTAATAATACTGTGGAATAATTATACATAAAAAAGACAGAAAGGGGATAGTTCAGTAATATAACTCAGCAGAAAGCCTCATGGTTAGCCATCAACATTTTTAGGCTGGGCAATAAAAAATTCAAGTATGAAACCCAGAAGTGTTGCTGTTATCAATATTAAGCTAGACCGACTAGCAGTCTGAAAGTCTACAAGGCAGCATCCCATAATCTAACTGCAAACTCCCTCATATTTCTCCCATGAATATATACCAGCTGAAGATGCTCCACAGGTTGCTTGTGTACATAATTTGCCAGATCTTCATCAAAGCTTGCCAAATCTTCTATCTCCACCTCAATCCAATATTGTCCAACGTTATAATGACGTTTGAGCTCATCTCTTTCAATACAGTGGGAGAAAAAAAGAGACCCATGAATATATTTATTGGAATAACATTCACAACTATGCACAAAGCTGCAGAACTCTAGGGCAAGTTATTTTATTCTGATATACTTACCAACACTCTAAAGGTATTTCAACTTAAAATACTATAAGCAACTGTTTAAGTTTACCAAAAGAGAAAGAGCACCTGTATTTGAAAGAGAAGCCAGTCCGGTCTGTTCCAATGCGATACTGCCTTAAAAACTCTTTGAAGCGTTTCTGCAGCTGGGACTTTCGAATTTGTCCTTCATCTGTAACTGGGTCTCCACCAAAGCTATCACTATAGAAAATGCCAGGGTCATCAAAACCAGACATGATTCTCTGAAAAAAAAAAAAAGCAGAATAGATAGATAGATAACCTTTATTATCATTTTTTTTTACTGTGGGCACAATGGCACACATTAAAAATGAAATTTTGTTGCTTGCTCTCAAAGTGTACACATAAATAACACACATTTAAACATACTATATACAACATATGTATAGACCTACACCCTTACATATAAGTAGCATACAAATATTAATCACTGCTGAAAGATACCAATAAGATACATTATAAATATAGGTTTCATAACTTATATTAAGTCTAGAATAGCTGAAAGTTGGGCAGCATTTAATAATTACAATTATATCTAGTTTAAAGTATTAGGAAAAGTGTTTTTCCTAAAACACTTCTGAGCATGTGCAAAGTGTATTACCTTTACCCTACAGCTCTTATACAAGACAGCATCTTCTTTTGTATCATTTTTCCCTTTCTCTATGGCAGAGGTGGGTAGTTTATGATTTTCTGTTGCAAAGCTATAATTAGAGCCATATGAAGAATGAGTTGCCTTGCAGCGAGATGGGCGACTAAATAAACAAATAAATTGAAATGAAATGAAATAATGAAATGAAGGGAGATTTAATTCAGCAACAGGACGAGGGCCTCGAGTTCCCTAATAGCTGATAACGGGAAATCTGTGTTTTTAAGCTGAAAAACTGCAGGAAGGAATTGTTCCTTTTTCGATGGCCCATTATAACCAGCTAACTTTGATTCAATCGACTCAGCCGTCTGTGATACTTATATAAGTTACCGTCATAGTGGGGGAGGATGGGAGTTGTGCAAAAGCTGATTTTGGGGATATACAAGAAATGCTTGGAGGAACATTGTTTCAGAAATGACGGGTCACTAATGAATATCGCCTCTCCTGAACTCTGGTTAAGCAGCAGCTCAAGATCGATCCAAACGCATACAAGCAGGTATAGCTCTTACGCGCGCCCCTGACCCCCAACGCCCCTCACCTGCCTCCGCAGCCGTAGAGAAGCCCCTTGCAAAACGACTCTGTCGCTCGCTAGAACTCTGCAAGAAGTTTTCGCGGCAAAAAGTAATAAAAAAAAGTGTTCTGGATTCGCCGGCAGTCACGCGCTGCTCTTTGCGCGCTGTCATTGGCTCAAAGGCAGCAGGACGTGTAACGATTAGCTAAAAGCCCTGCCCTTTAAGGGCGCAAGACAATCGCGGCGGTAAGGGCCGAAAGCGACTGGAGGCGACCCAAACTTGGGCCCGCCTCTTTCTCAACTTTGCCTTTATCCAATTGGTCAGCCGTTCGCTATAGGAAGTATTTTTCGCGCCAAACTTATTGCTTGGAGCGAAAAAAGGAAAGGGAGGTTTAAAATGGCGGGTGTGGCTCGAAACGGGAGGGATTCGGCTCTTCGTTTTTTGCGAAATTTGTCGTCGTTTTTTGTGTAGGTTTGTCGCCCTTGATAGCTATGGAAGAAGGTAGTCCTGCAAATAAAACTTGCTTTTTCCAAGCCAGAAAGTGTGAGAAGATGCATCTGTTGATTTTGTTTTGCCACTGCCCTAAAGCAAAAGATGGGGGAGGTGTATGTGTGATGGAAAGCAGAATTGGAGAGATGTATCTGCCCGTTACACATATGTTAGGCCAATGTTATTTAAAAACAAAAATAATGCAAAGTGAAGAAAAAAATATCAAAGTAAGCTAAAAGTGCAAGACAATTTTTAAAAAAACTTTTAATACAATTATTTTTAAAAATAAGTTTTTTAGTAAATCAGTGTATTGGGGTTTTCAGTGTATTATGTAAGATCAAATATTTTATTAAAACTAATGGCAAGTTTAAATTATATTTGTACTGTAACTTGGTTTCGGGCCTTCTTGACCATAAATAAAATTGATTAAAATGCAAGAAGGGAAAAACAAATAGAAAAATAAACAGAATGATACATAGTGGCTTCTGATCTTTACAGTAGTTATAAGTACAATGATAAATTCACTTCTTTTTCTAAAGTCAAAACAGATGTCTCTGTAGTCTAATAAAACCATAAATCATAAGCTTTTTTATGCATAAAGTCTTATTTTTTCTATTTTATGCAAAAAATAAAACAAAAACAGACTTTCCAACTCTCTTCCTACTTCTTTCTTTCTCTCCAGGATTTCCACTGGGGGATGTTCCATAATTTTTAAAAGTGGGAAATGGTCCTGAGGACAAAACTTTAGGAAACACTGTATTAGACTAATCTAAGCATTGTTCCTGTTTTGTTTCACATGGAACAGCTCCCCCTCCTGCCTTTTTTTTGTTGAAGAATTTAAGATTTGCATATGGTGTTAAGACATAATGTGATTTGTTTAATAAGTATGGCAAGCAAGTTGAAGCCAAACAAACATCACAGCACATTATATGTGAACCTTGTCTCGGTCCATTTTAAAGACAAGCTTAAGGAAAGAAGGTAAGGACTGGACCATACTATGTCTAACTGGACAACACTCTGCATATATTTATATATTGTGTATTTATGTTGTACATCACTTGAGTCACACACTCTAGAGTTGAGCAGTCTTATAAATCTTGAAATAAATAAAAATGGGGGGAAAAAGGGTGGGAAAGAAGGGTAGCAAGTAGAGGATAATGACATATGAACCTCTGCAGAATTCCAAGGATGCCGCAAGTAATTGTTGAATTAAAGAATTAACCTGGAAGCATTTTCAGGTAGAATTTTACATGGGAAAACACATTAGAAGATTGCAAGGCATTTTTTTTCAGTCTTTTGCAGCATGAGATTTTTTTTAGTTTTCTGTATAACAACTTTAGAACTGCTTCAAAAGTTCTTGGGTTCATCTAGCGGTGTGCGGGCGAGCATTATCGTGAACCAACACCACACCGGAAGTCAGCATGCCCGATGCTTGTTATGGATGGCTCATCTATTTCAGAGTAGACTTCTGAATTGATGGTCAAACCACGTTCCATGAACTTCACTAGCAGTACTCCTTTGGCATCTTCACATTTGGCGGGATTTTCTATGGCACCACTTCCTATGTGGTGTTAGTTCACGATAAGGCTTGCCCGCACACCGCTAGATGTACCCAAGAAGTTTTGATCCCTCCCCCATACCCCAGATTTGGCACTGAGTGACTACTACTAAGGAATTTCAAACCTTGTAAGACATTATGACAAGTTCCTCAATTTGAATAATGATTATGTCAAAAAGTAATGTAGTTTTCTAATGTGTATAATAAAAATTCTGTATCTATGAGTGTCTGTCATTGATAACCAAACTGAGATTTATTTCTGAATTGCCCTCGTACATTCACTGAAATCAAGAAACTACTCAATAGCTAAAATAGCTAGAATTAAAGAATAGTATTCTATTTCTGTATACGCCATGTTTGTACCCATAAGGGTATTTTAATTATTTTTCATGGATGTGAGCGTGAATTGGATGGTAATTTATAATTAATCTAGAAGAAGATCAATATGGTTATATGAAATTTTAGTAATGTCAGTTTTCTTGGAAATAAAAATATTCTTGTGTGTTAACTAATTCTGCTACTTATATATTTATTGCTACCTATCTTACATATTTTAAGCTTTATTATATTTTAGTAAATATATTTTAAACGTAAATTAAGCCATAACAAATGCATTTTTCCAGAATCTAAAATATGATAAAGTAATCCTAAGTTAGCCAATAACATTAAGACAATGAACCTTTGATATGCATTTACTGCTGGACTTTAAAACATAAACACTATTACAGAGATCACATGTTATATCCTTCCAATAAATGTCTTTTCAATGTTTAAAGGATTTTATAATAGTTGTGGTACTGAATGATTTAATTATCTTCCCAAATACAGGAATAAATTAGCTTTATGGCAGTGTACTGATTAGTCCATTTCTATCAGTTATATAACTCAGTATGAAAAAGCAAACATTCTTCAAACAATCTGATAAACATAAAAAGTACACAATTGAGTTAACTTACAAGGAGCTTTAATAAAAATACAGTATAACTTAAAAGTACAAAGTACAAATACAAGAATATTTTATTCTGTGTCTGAAAGGTCATTGCTAATTCACTACTGCTTTAAACTAGTAGAAATGTATTGCATGAAGTCAACACTATTGTGTTTTAGGACAAAGAAAGACAGGCAATACAACATATACTGTATAGAAAATCTTGTACACAAACACTGGACAAAATATCACAGCTTGATTTATTCCTCACGTATTCCAGATGACAAGTTATCATTCTTTTCTCATCTTGGCTTCTTATTGGTTTAATGGCATGTCATAAAGTGGCATTTCAGGTTCTTTACAGAAATGTATTTGACAAAAATTTCTTTTAAAAACTGTTGGTAACAACAACAATACCTAGAACTGGAAAAATAGTCAAGCTCAGCACTTCTAATACATGAAATAATCTAAATTTGTCACCCTCAGTTTTTTAAAAATGCATTAGTTTAGGAGTAGGCAAGTAGTAGTAAAAGTGCTTTAAGTTCTTTTCAGTTCATAGAGCATACAAGCCCACAACAACTGTTGTTGCTAACAAGAAAAGAGCAAGACTCCAACGCAAGAGTGGGATGCTGGACAGCTTCATCTGTGCTTGGCCACTTTCCTTTGGAACTATATTAAGAAAACAAAAGTTGTTCAGAATGAAAAGCAGCTGGAAAGACTGTATTTCTAGATCCTTAAATAATGTTCTAGTAATAGTCACAGCATCACTAAATGCCTCAACATAGTATAGAGCCTACTAGTTCTGCAAAGTTTATGAGACAATATAATATATCACAATTGTGTGGATTTAAATTACATGATAGGCAACCTTTTGGTGTTTATAGCTTTCAAATGTATAGCTATGTGGGGTGGGGAAGTTGAGGGAATGCACAACTTGTAAATAAGAACAACCATGAAAAGTTAAGCGTAGTCTTATAGTTATGCACTCAAATATATGAACATAAATCTTTAAACAGCAGATCCATAACAAGCCTCAGTGATATCAACATGATAATATGTGCATCACTGAAATGATGAAATTATTC